TCTTCCCAAAGCTTCATTTTTCTCCTCTGTAATTCTGAGATAAAGCAGTACCAACCCCACAGGGTTGTTTTGGGGACTAAAGTAAGTGAGGTAATGTCTGTGAAGCACTTGGCAGGGTGCCTAGCACCTGATAAGCCTGAGAAATGTGCATGCTTTTCTCTTCCTCCACCTCTTTCTTTTCCATCTTCTTTCTAAACCTTATATATTCTAAAATAAACATTGAAAAATAGTTTGCATTTCTGAAAGTGACCGGTCTTACAATCTGTGGTGTGTCCTATGTCAATTGATAGAATTAAAACAATTTTCTAAACGCATCTTTAAATGTACTTTAAATTATTAGTACATCTTTCAATCGATGGTACCTAAAGTGGCATTCAATTAGGAAAGTCACTTTATTAGGAATGTCACTTTGCCATTATTGCAGCTAATTTGACCAATGAAGTTATGCAGATGGCTTCATTGTAAACACGGCACTTTCATCTGAGGCATCAATTGTACTTGGAGATGTGGGAGGGGAGGTGTTGAAGAATATAGTTAATAAGAAATTTAAGTTGTTATTTTTATGTTTTTTAAAAAACAGATGTATTAAAGGAGAAGTCAAAATTTACCTGAATTTTTAGATGACAAGGTGGCACACTGCAGAAACCCTGGCCTGCAATGTTGGGTTTTGCAGCTGGGCCTCCAGATGGCCGTGTTTGGTCTGTTCAGCTGTTGACTTATTGGGCTGGCAAGAAAGGGAAGCCCGAAGTAAAGCAGCCATGATAAAACCAGGTGAGGTCCTACTCCCAGGGGCTTGGAGATTAGAGGGGGATGGTAAGGAAACCAGGCAGGCTTCGAGGTTTGTGGGAGTGGGGCAGGGGACACCCAACAGTGCTGAGGCGGGCATTTTGGTTACTGTAACAGTCATTGTCATGGGAGCACAGGGAATAAAGGAGGGAGTGGTCAGTCCTGCTGGAGGCGAAATTCAAGGAGTTATCTTAGAGAAGGTGAACCTGTCTTAGAGTGTGGGCACACATCGTGGCACATTCAAGGTTCCTAGCAGTTGTCGCTTACCCCTGGGCTGTGCTGTCCTGCAGATCCCTGGGGAGGCCCTTCACTGCGGACCTTCCCAAAGAACCAGAATGCACACTGACTGGCATCTCCGTGCCAAGGTCTTCCAGGAATCTTGTGGGTGGCCTTGCTTCAGCAGGACACATCTGCATCAGCCTGTAACACACTGACCCACATTTAAACTAAATTAAGCATTCCCTAACTTCTTCCAAATTTCTGAATCTGTGCATAGTCAAGTGCTTATGAACCAGCAGAGCCTGGTTCTCAGATTTTGCTAATAAAATGCCAAGTCCACGCAATGTCTTCTTCATGGATTACAAAGCATGTATTTTCAAGCTCCTTCCAGTAGGACCAGTGGGCTGTTCATTCCGTGGAGCTCAACCAAAGGGAACAGTGGATTCTTCTGTAGAGCTCCCTGGTTGAAATGCAGACCTGTGTTTTCTTGGCCTAAGGAGAAAGATGTCAATCCTTTGGGGGCACTGGGCCAACATGGCCCTCCTTACACTCTGCATCTACTGACTACCTCTGGAACAGCTGGCTTAATGCAACAGCAATTCTGAGTCCTCAGCTGAACAGCTGCAGAAAATTCTTGATTATTCAGAGTTCATCAAGTACCATTGGTGTCACTGGAGTGGTAATTGAATTTTGTGAACCCTCTTGTGGTGCAGACAGCACAGGAATGCCTGTGAGAACCGCGTGGTGTAGTCATGATAAATACATTTCCAGCAACAATGGATCATGAAAGTAGGCCTGTTTGCACACAGCCAAGAGAACACACTGTTTTGATGATTTGAGTTATGATATTGAACACTTTGGAGTGAAAACTATTTGGAAGCATGACAATGTGTACCTACAAGGATGACTTGGGGAGAGAAATCTAATACCGCCCAAAAATCTCCATCAAAATCTTCACTGATAATCTCACCAAATGCAGATATGTATGTGACAAATTAACTCCGTGTGCTATTAAAGATGACCTTGTTGCACTGTTGAATTGAATCCCTGTGTGGGAAAAGAAAAATCCCCAAGTAATCTTCAATGAAATGTGCCTTATCACCACACCCGCAATTAAGTGCTTTTGAAATTCCACATTCACAGAATGATCTCAACAGTCTCACTGGTTTGCAATGCAGTTTCTAAAAGAGTACATTTATAGTTGGAGAAAATAGCACAAAAATGAAACTGCTGGACTTGTTTTGGCTGCCGAAAATATACTTGGCATCCGCAACTGTGGCGCTGTGGAAAGGAAGGAGAATGGCTCCGAACTCAGGCGGACCGTTGGCCTGAATCCTGGCGCCACCGTCTATTGTGTCCTTCACAGGTCATTCACCTCCTTGGTCTCTTCAACTTTCCCTGTAGGAACGAGGTCACTAATGACTGCCTCTGACCATTAGGTGCACAGGGTAAGGGGCTGTGCTCGGCTCTACCGAACACTTATTATATTAACAGCTGTCACCTGTAGGCCTACTGTGTGCCAGGCATAGTCAAGTGCTTATGAACATATCTTACAACATGATGAGTTTGGTATTTAGGGTGACCAACTTGTTCCGGCTTGCCTGGGATTGTCCAGATTTTACAACTAGACAGTCCTGAGTCCCAGGGACCATATCAGTCCAGGACTAACTCTGGCAACACATGGTCCCTGCCACACGTGTGGAAACTGATCATCAGGCTATGCAAATTCCCAGGTTCCCACCTCTGGGAACAAGAGAATGATCCAGGCCTGAATGATTTTTAAGCCTGTGCTTTTTCTGCAGCCCAAGAGTCTGCTCAGAAAATGCTTTTTCCTTGTTGAACTAAGATGGTCTGAGCTTTGCAAATATTTCTACATCAGAATACATTTTTTAACTGCCTTTAACTATCATTTCAGGACTGCATGAGTGTGCATGTTTATGCACATTGGAGAGCTCTCCAGGTGATCCTGGTGATGAAAATGACAGTTTCAAAGCCCAACACTTATTTCCAAGAATGTTCTGCCATTTGTCAATATAGAGAGCATTCATTCCTTCATTCACTCACTCATTCATTCAGCAGGTATATGGTGAGGTCCTACTGTGTGTCAGGGACTTTGGCGGATACAAAGTTGACTAAGACGCGGGCCTCAAGGAGCTTGTAAGGGGTCCAATGACAGCTGTAAAATCTCACCAGAACTGAGGGCAGGGGTGTGCCCTGCGACCTCAAGTCCCTGCATGTACCTCCCATCTCCCCATTTTCTGCTTTTGCCTCATGGGTCTTCCTTAGTGCTCCAACCCTGTCCCTTACACTGTTGTTTCTTTCACTAGCTGTTACCCCTGACCGAAAGATTTTTTTGTCTTTCTCTGTCATTCAGATAAAATGTCACCTCTCCAGGAAGGACATCTTTGGCTACTTCAAGCTAAATTAACCACTGGGTGGCTAATTTATCACCCTGTCTTAATGATCTTCATAGGATGTATTCATTCACTGTTTGAAGTTTATTTTCTTTGATTATTTACTGTTTTGCTGTCTTCCCTAACAGTTACCTACGAGTAAGAAGCAATAGCTTATATTTATTGTTATTTTATTCATGGCTGTGTTCCCAGGACCTAACACCATGCTAGGCACACAGAAGCAATCAGTAAGCATTTGCTGAGTGAACAAGATGAACAGATTAATAGATGTGGTGTATGCAGGAAGGGGCAGCCCTCTTGGCCTGAACAACCAGGGAGGGGAGCCGGCAGGGACATCAAGACAGTCTCATTTTTGTTTTTTTTTTTGGTTATAAATGTAGTATCAGGTTTTTTAAAAGTTGGTATGAAAACCACAAAAAGTGGAAAAAAAACTCTTCTGATGTAACCATTAGCTGTGTTTTGTGGCACATTCTTGCCTAGGTCTCTTTCCATTCATGCTCATAGACTTCTGAACAAAACCAAATCACGCTTTTCATGGTTCTAGACTGTTGGATATATTTTCTTATATCTTTTCTTATATTCTCAGTGTAAAGATTGCTTTGTCTTCCATCCTACGGATATACTCTGATATATCTAGCCAAATCTATGCTGTTGGAGCTTTGAGTGTTCCCCCTCCCCCATTTTGCCTTTATGAACACCACAGGGTTGGGGAGTCTTGAAGACAGATGACCTTTGCCTAGACCCACGTGATGCTTCAAGGAAGAGCAAAGGGCTTTGGTCTGAATTCTAGATCCACCAGTGTCTTTTATCTTTTAAGCTTCCTCATCCATAATGTGGGCACATGAGGAATGCTTACTTCGTAAGGCTGCTATACTGGTGAAACAATAAAATGCAAGCGGTGCTCACCATGGTGTCAGTGTGCGCTCAGTGCTAGCTTCCTTGATCACTTCCTGAGAACAACCTCCTAGAAGTCAAGTCGGCTTTCCAGCCTATCTTAGAGGACAAATAGAAACTAGCTAAAGAGAGGGTGGGAAGGAGGCTGCAACGGAGGAAGTGAATGGGAATAGGAAAGATTTTTTAATTTTAAAATAACCTAGACCCACACTCAGCAGCCAAAGCTTCCAAAGACACCAGTTTTGTCACCTGTGACTCCCACACTGCGTGGACAGCAGCCTTGCTGTGGTCCAGCCCATCATCACCAGAAACACACCTTTCTGGGCACATGTAAGCTGACTGAGAGAAGGAAGACTCCCTTTAATCAGACAAGGAAGCTGGAGAGTGAGATTTGCTTGGACAGACAAGGAGTTCGAATTTCATTATACACAAGTGTCTGGTGGGCTGTCAGGAAAAAAAGATCAGGCTCAAGATGCAGATTTGAGAAAATGGTTTGGAGACCGTGGCAGGGAGGATCCTCTCAGAGCTGTCCTTTGTTCAGAAGCTCATAAAAAAATCCAATTTGCTTTCAATAAATGCTATTAATTGATGTCCTGTTTAACTCATACATCCTAATTATATTTTCAGTAAACAACAATGTTCAACTTATATGTGCCAACTTAAGAGCAGAGTCACAGAGTGATAAAATTGTGTTTATTTAGTAAAGTCTGATGAGTAAAGAAATTAAAAATATTTTACAAAATGTACAATTTATATTTTTATAAATACTGTAAAGGAGAAAAGTGAAACACATATGGTAACATTAGAAGAATGTATAGACTTAATTTTGCAGCCTACATTGTAGCCTGACAAATTAGATAACATATATGTATACACATTTATATTGATCATTAGTTTTCATAATTACAGGCCAAGGATAAGATGTGGGCATGTCTACAATAATTCTAAACTTCCATAAAATTTGTGGTCTCTCACCACTACAGTTATTGATTTTTTTCTTTTTCAAAATTCCATGAAAAGGCATCTAAAAGTTGTCAGAGGGTGTAAACAAGTGCTTTGGGCCTCAGCTTCCTAGTTAGTAAGATGAGAGGACCCCTGAGCTGGGCTCTGCTCATGCTGACCTAAAACCTAGTGGGCCTTAGAGCTCCCAGCACACAAACGTGCGGGGTTGTTGAAGACCCAGCCATCCCTGTACTGGGAATTTTCTGTTTAGCTTCTTTCTGTTGGAAAGGAGTCAATCTGTGTTAAATGGAGAAAGCTAATGACACCAGCGTACCCAACAGATACATCATTACTATAGATACAGCATGGTTCCTAGTAGACAACTAAACAGAAAAGTAATAGTTTCCAGGCTTCATGTTGAAGAGCTGCATGTTTCCTTAAGTCTTGGGCTTGGAAATCCAGAGCTGACCTGCTTACCAAGAGAGTCCTACAGTCAAGCCTCGATCTATGGTGGAATACTTATGCAACGACCTGTGCAACATGATCCCAATCACTGCAGTCACATCACTGCACTCACATTTTTTTTTGGAACTGCATTAGTACACGATAAAGAAAGATGAGTGCAAGTGTAATGTGGTCTACAGGGTAAATCATGTATGTGCTTCTCTAAATTTATGGAAATTTGCATTTGTAATAAAACCACAAGAAAGTCAGTCCTCCCTAAGGCATATATTCTGAGCCTACCTTGATTCCACATTTACAATTAATTATATTTTTAGTTACATAAACACAGATACAACTGTCCTTACATGATCACAGAAAATACACAGACTCAAGGATGATTCCTCCTGACTCTTCCCACACTCATCTGGGGGTGGGGGGTGCTGGGCTGCCTCCACAGGTGCCTCTTGGGGGTAGATTATGCCTTCCCTCGGCCAGTCTTCAGCTCCACATCCTGGAGGAAGGCCTCGTTGCTCTTGGGACAGTTGGTGTGGCAGGTGCATGTCCCAATGACCATCACCGGCTTCTTGACGGTCTGCCCCGGTGAGCACTGGAACTCCACCTGGATGGTTTTGGTGTTGTGGGGCGTACAGCATCGGCCATCGCTGCACACCCCGCAGAACCGGGGCCGGTAAGTGTGTAGGCTGGTGCAGTTTTGGAACTGCAGGTGGATGGCTCTGAGCGACTTTTTGGTGCGGAGACACTTTTTTCCTTTCTAGGAAAGAGAAAAGGAGTGATATCTTGAATGGTTACCCCTCCTTGAGGGACTGTTTTAGCATGTGGGGCAACCTGCTCACTGCCTGCCCTATGGCCACTAGTCTTGCTTCTCTGTTTGAGCAAGTTAAACAGACTTGCTTCCTTGTACTATCTGGGACCTGGATGGCCTTGTGTCATGGCTCTGGCCAATGATACATAAACCAAGGGATGCTAGGATATCCTCCACCCTAGGAACAAGGACTGTTCTTTATTGCTTCCTGCACTCATTTTCTGAGATGTGAGTGCCTCACTTACCTGCATCCAGCCATGCTGACCTTGAGGTGATGAGTATGAAAGTGAAGGTGCACGTGTGACAAAGAACCTATCTTTTAAATCGCTGTCACAGGTGTGGGGTTATTTTTAGCCAAATGCATGTTTAGGCTTATAGAGGGTGTAAATCTGGCATTATTGTAAGCCTTAAATGTTTCTTTTCAGACCTTAACTCACTTAAGTTTATTAACAACATTCATTTATATCAGGAACAATAATCATTCATAGAAAGGACAGTTGTCCAGGTTTTACAGATGAAGAAACAGAGTCTTCAGCACTCAGAAAATATCTAGTATTTGAATGTGTCTGACACAAACCCCATTCTTTCTGTTATAGGTGACATCAGGAAATTCTAAGACAGTGGGGCTGAAGGTTAATGTCCATGAAGGCAAAGTAAGTGAGGATTTTACACAAGATTCCATTAGCAATGGTTAATGAGGAACCCTGTTATTGATAATTCTTCAATATGATGAATGGATCTAATGAAGACGGATTTCTTCATCTGCTGATTTGCCACAGTTCTCTACTGTTCACCATCCCAGGCATGGCCCACAGCTTGTGGGGTGATTAGACTTGGAACTATCTTAAATCAATGGCTCTCAAACTTCAGTGCACATCAGGATCATCAAGAAGATTTGTTAAAACACAGGTTGTTGGGTGACATGCCTAGAGTTTCGGATTTAGTACATCTGAAGTAGGAGACCCATGCATACGTATTTTTAAGAAGTTCCTAGATAATGCCGCTGGTTTAGGGACCACACTTTAAGAATCACTGTCTCAGACTTAAGAATCATCTGGAGATAAGGAAGTGATGATTATTATGGGAGTAGTTCTTGAGAGTTCAAAGAAATTTCTAGAACCTTTATGAAACATGTATACTATAAATAGACATCTTAAATACACTATCTCCCAACATTAAACAAGGTGTAAATTACAAGAAAAATATACACATTTTGTGAAAAAAAATAATAGAAAAGCTGAATTTTAGAGGTATGGGATAGAAAGACCTCATTTAATAAAGAAGTTACTGTGTGTTTGAAAATACTTAAGGACTTCTTGTTTCTTTTTTTGTATTTATTGTTTAGTATATATTCTTCTCAACAGCAACTTTCCTGTGTGTGTGTGTGTGTGTGTGTGTGTGTATGCATGATTGCTTGTGTGTATGGGTCTTTATGACTATCCCACATCTATGCTTTAATTCCCCTAACTGTGGGGAGGTGCATCTTCCATGGTATAATATTAGGGATAAGGTGTTTCTAGATGTTATCTCTAAATTGGTGGAAGAAACATAAGTTAAGATGATCTCAAAAGAATCATACAGTTAAGTAGCCAAAACCAGGAACCATTATCAATACCTAGAAATTTTAAGTAATGATGGCTAATGTCTGTGCTCAGTAGTTTGAAAATTCACTGTCTGTAATCTTCATGACAACTTTGAGATGGGCACTTTAAACAACCCCATCATATGGGGGAGGGAACTGAGGCTGCAAATGTAAGAAAATCACCCAAGGTCACATAACTAGTTCACAAGGAGTGAATTTAAAGCCCAGTTGTCTGGCTCCAAAGCAGTCCCCTTCAGCACTAGGTGACACTGCCTCAGTGTGGAGCTCTGTGGACCCCAAGTTGCTAGCGGCTGTTTTGTGAGGGTCTTAGGCTAGTGTGAGGGTCCTTAAGATTGTTCAGATTGGGTATGCATTTGTCCCACAGAGTACTCTGGTGACAAGGCTTGTGACACCACCAGGCACCAGCCAAAGCTGATCTGCATGCCTCACATCAGGGCTAATACACAGAGTTGACAGAATTCCAGCAAAAGAAAAAAGAAAAGAAAGAAAGGAAAGAATGGAAAGAAAGGAAGATGCTGTTTTATTTGGCCCGTGTTGCCTTGCGCTGCCAAGTGTACCATACCCACTAGGTTTTAAAGGCACTGACAGTGAGTGATTCCAGATACTCGCTCATTACTTGTCACCTATTGTTCATCACATACACAGTATGTACAGGTGGGGTTGGGTAGAGGTGATGAGAGGTCTGGCCTGCTGATTCACAGACTGGCCCTGAAGGCAAGGAGCATGAGGTCAGGCCTGGCCTTGCTGGTCAGCCACGCTGGACAGTTGGGTGGACAGTTTCCTGCTGGCATGGAATGGGGTCTGCTTGACCCCTCTCCACTGGGGAAAGGGTCACAGGTGTCAGCCCCCCTCTTTTCCTGTAGACCTGCTATGAGTTGCTTGGGGTCTTTCAACATATTAGAGCAAAAAGCGAAGGCACTAGGCTGGCTTCAGGAGCCTCCTGCCTTTCTCTGGTGTTAACCCCACTAGGGCTGACTCACTGTCAACGGGAGTCACAGTGGCTGTCTGAGGCTGGGCTCAATGGAGGCAAGGCCCCAGCCTTCAGGAAGGGAGTCCCTCCAGGCTCCTACCTTGTCCACTGGCTGCCTGGGCTCTGGTCCACAGGGCCGCACCATGCAGAGCCGGGTCTGCTTCAGCATCTCACACTGCCGGTTCCTGTTGGTGACCCGGGTAGACACTCCCATGCCACAGCTCTGGGAGCATGCAGTCCACTCTGTGGTCTGCTCAATGCAGTTGACACTGGAGTCAGAGACATCCACTCCTACAGTGGCTTCTGTCCTGTAGGCTGTGGGAGTGTAGAAAGACAGTTGTGCTGGCTAAAACGCAAGGATTGAAGAGTGTTCCTTTCAGTCGTCACTAGAAAGTGTGCCACACTCACGTCTGAACCTACTGAACACCCATGCTCCCAGGGGACAGAATGAGATCGCTTTGCTTACAAACCACTAATAGGCAGCACAGAGTCCGACACACTGTCAGTCTTCCGAAAATCTTTGTGGAATCACTGTCCAAACTGACCTTCAGAAGCTTAGGAGACCTGTCTCTAAGAAGTTCCATGGTTTTAAGAATGTAGACAGTATGACATCAACAACCACACCATAAATTGTCGTGCCTTCATCACGTAATTTTTAAATTTTAGACACAAGGGATCATGAAAAGATTTTAATTGATGAGTAGGTAAACTAGGCAAGTCACACAAGTGGTGAGAGCACAACTTTGCTGTGGGGAGGCAGAACTGCTATTTTGATGACGGGATTCGGATCACAAAACGTTCTGCCACAACACTTAACGTGCATGGTATGGGCACATCTGCCCTTCTCTGCAGCAGGGTCCCTAATGTAAGGTCTGGCTGATGATGCCTGACTTCAGAAAGACTAGAAAACTCTGGCCACTGCCAATATAAATGGTCTGGCTAACGAATGGCTTTGTCCCCCAAAATACCTATTTCATTAGCAAGAGGAAACAAAAGGAAGACTAAGATGATGGCCCTGTAGTACCATCTGACCCTGCAGCATCTGGAAAGGTGACATACTTCAGGATACCTATCCAGGGAGGAGCGGCATTTTTTAGGGATGCTGTTTTTGAGAGGGGCTCGATGGTGTCCAGCATCCAGAAAGAAAGGTTTTTAATACATCTTTGTGGTGCTAATAAGAATCAAGTACATTGGCTAGACTAAAAAAACAATAAGATAAATCCAACAAGGCAAAAACTAGACAAAGGTGACTCAATCTGGCGGGTCCCATTTAGGGGAAATTGTGGTGTACCTCAATGACTTGGGTTTACAGACTCATCGCCCCTGCTCTGTGCCCCGTTTCTGCCCAGTGCCACCACCCCAGGGTGCAGGTGTCTCTCACCTGCGAGGGTCAGGCCTCCCAGGGTCTCCTCCTCCTCTGGGCCGCAGACCCACTTTTCACAGCACTCTCCGGGTACCTCGACCTTCCTGGGAGTGGGGCAGTGGGGCTCAGGCAGCAGCACGTCCAGCTGGCAGCGGGGCACACAGCCAATCTGCCCGTCCCGGCAGGTGCACTGGAACTTGCAGCTCGGCTGGAACTTCTCTCCACTGCGGTAAATGACCCCATCGAACACACAGTTGTCCCCTTCCACCGCTGGAGAGTTGGGGCAGGGCAAAGCAGAGGAGAGAGGAGAAGGAACACAGAACAATGCACCAAGGAGTGTGCCAGATGAGGGGGACGTGCCACACCTACCCCGTCCTCTTCTGGTTCAGCCATCCTGTGTCTTACACAGCGTGGGGAGAGGTCCTCAAGGAGGCCTCTGGAGTAAGGGGAGACCTTGTAGCTTGCCACTCACTTTATGGACAGGAAAAAGGTGTTCACTGTGAAGTGACACTCTCAAGGAAGTATGGCCACTGTCCCAAAGTTAAGCCATTTTTCAAGAACCTCCTTGGAGTCTCCAATCCCATCAGCTTACACTTGAAGAGAAACATGCACTTCATATTCTCCTAACAGGTTAACTATTCGAACTGGGAAGGGCACCAAGATTCCTTCACTTTCAAGCACTATAAATCATCACTAGCTTTGAGACAAAAAAGTAAAAGCTTGTCTACCCAGAAGGGAAGGGTCAGCCTCCCTCAGTGGTGCACCGCGTGGAAAACGATCCAGGTGGACCAGACTCTAGAAGCCTGGATTGGCTGGTTGTCTGCATTTTACCTTATTTGCAGCCCCAAGAAGGGGTCTGTAGTCGCACCGGGTGACTGAGGGCCGCTTGGTTCAAACGGGACAGTCACAGGTGTAACAAGGAACTCGCTGTTGCCGTGAGGTTAAGGGAAGCTTAGCTCCCGCCAGCCTGGAGTGGCCCCTAGACGTGTCCACAGGAAGTGACCTTATGGCCTTCACCCCTGCTGGACTCCCCTCTGCCCTTGTCTAGGAGGCCAGCGAGGGGCTTCTCCCTCGCCAACGCCCCCATGCCCACAGCCGCGCAGGGCACACAGCTGGCGCTCCGTCAGTGGCACCGACTGCCTGGTAACGAACGCTCAGGCTGCGCGCGCGCGTCACCCTCCGGGAAAGGGAAGGAGAGGAGGGGGCGGCGCGGCCGCAGGGGGACGGCCCCCGCGGAGGTTACCCATGCAGATGCCGGTGCGGTTGCGGGGGTCGGCGCTGCGGTCGCAGTGGAGGCCGGCCG